ACTTCGAACAACAGATTATCTTGAAAAAGTAAAATAACAGTAGTTCGAAAGTTTTCAAATGTACATCATCTTGAAACAGCGGCCCAACGACAGTTAGGGACAATGTTTATCTGGCTAAGCAGCAGCATATATAGATCATCCCGAAACAGCAGGACAACTTATGGCAGTCAGAAAACTGAAATATTTTCTGTACTCTATATAGATTATCTCCAAGTTATAGGGAAAATGTTTATTTGTAGATCATCTTGAAACAGCAGCACAACAGCAATTAGGAAAAATGTTTATTTGTATGTGTTTATTTGTACTAAAATTCGAGCAATACTGCAGGAATTCGCGCAGAGCAATATAATTTACGATACACACAATATAATATACACACGAGCAATATAATTTATATTCAGCTTTGGCCGAAATATACAAAGTCTATAACCAAGAATTTCCTCGTGCGTCATCGATCACATGCTTGTTCGACGAAACGTTTTCCACACGTGTGTGAAAATTGTTTCGCTTTGGTTATATGCATTGCAAATGAGTTTTCGCATGTCTAAATGCATTCGTGAAACAAGCTCGGTATCTCTACATGATAAACACAGATGCACTGACCACTGTTCCTAATTCCTTGTTAGCTTGAGTTAAAGACCGGCTGACGAACTATGTATGCATGCATGTGCAAATGTGTGCCTTATAATATTTTGACTTTCACTGCACGCCGTACATCACACCACACTAGATACTTTGATATTTTAATTCATTCAAATTCAAAAGTATCACTTTAACTTTTTAACTTTATGCCGAGTTTCTGTAACTAGCTATATATACTGATTCAGGCCTGTTCATAAACAATGAGGCGGGCTAGCCAGGACTGAAACCGGGCTAACTCGCTAATGGCGGGACCTTGCCTCCTGTATTGTTTTTACATGTATTTTTAGATTTCATTCACATGGAAACTGGGCCAGTCCGATTTGCTAGGCTCTCGCAGTCCCGCTTGAGCGAGGCAAGATCTCGCTTTCCTGGGCTTATATACGAACGCAGTTATATAGCGGCCGGTCTTAAACCGCGCAGACAATTGTGTCATATCTAGAAAACAACTTAATTAAACTTCAAACAAGTACAGAATCGACAAAATTGAGGACTTATATAATATATATGAAGCAGTTTCTATCAATATAAATAGGATTTCCAAAGTAAAAACAAACATATGCATGGGTTCCCACCAAAAATCGTGATGCAATTTCTATATAGCGCATGCTGGGCTGTCGCGGCAATGTGAGCCAGCCTTGCATGCGCATGCGAGCATGCGTTTATCCGATATTGCCTCGCCACATTGCATATTGCATAGCATATATATATATATATATATATATATATATATATATATATATATATATATATATATATATATATATATATATATATATATATATATATATATATATATATATATATTATAGGAATTTGTTTAATATTGATTACACTGGGTGTGGTTGCCCAATTCACCCGAGCCAGAGGCTCAACACACATATGATAGACGACTGTAAGACCTAATTGTTTGTACGGGAGGAAAACCGGGTGACTCGGGTAAAGCCCTTGAAGCTTAGGAAAGAACGGGTCAAAGTCCACTTGTATGAGTTTTGAAGCACAGGAAGGTCCCTCAATCTATGTAAATCATGTCCCCTCGACCTACCAGGCAAATTATAATAAGGGGATGCACAGTAAGTGCATTCCACCCGTGTTACTTTATGGCGAAAGAAGAAACGTTAATAAATATATTCATTATACCGGTATAGATATTGAGTTTTACGAACGGATTTACTGCTATGAAACCTCGTTTTGTAATGCATATAAGCTAACCAGGAAAGCGAAACAATTGCTCTATTTTGCATTTCATGTGCAAGCTCCTTCACAGGCATGATTCCATTAGTGTTTATCATGAACTATTATTGATAGAATTACGAATAGATTTGTTTTGTTTTTTTGTGGGCGACAATATGTACGTTTTTTTTAGTAAAACGTCAAACTTTCTTAGAAAAAAAATGACCCACCTAGGTTCTTGCTGCCCCCCTGAGCAAAAATCCTGGCTAAGCGTCTGTAAATCACGGGCTTTAGGACCCATTATTCAATATCTTGTTTGACAATGCTTCTAAATTCATAAACATTTACATATTATGCAAATCTGTATATTTTCAAAATCCGCCATATTTATTAACATTAGAACCCAAGCACAGAAGGGTAGGATCATCCGATTATTTCATTGTTCGAAGCGAGAGGAAACGATACTTCCATATATGGAACAAACGTGTTCCTAACTTCCTTATATGGCACAAACGTGTCCCCAGTATATTTTATCGAAGCTGTTATGATATCATAAGATTCCTCATGCTCGGAACAACATAAACAGGTCCGACGTGGTACAGAACCCAGATCCTACCCTCCTATTAGTGGAAATCACGGGCGTGACGTACTATTTCGCGTGAGCCGCGAAAGCTCGGTTTCTATTGCAAATAAATATGGCGGATTTTAAAAATATACACTATTTGCATATATCATGTAAATGTATTTATGGATTTAGAAGCATTGTCAAACAAGATATTGAATAATTCAGGTGCCATACACCCTATTTTAACTGCTATTTAGATAGAATACTACTGTTGTCAAATTGAATAGGTCTTGAAGCCGGTGATTAAAGTAGGTATAATATCAATTTTTAGTTATTGACAACGCCGAGAAGAAAGACGAAGATGACTTGGAAACGAGTCGATCTGCAACAGACAATTTTTTTCGTCGTGAAAGCATTGAGGATTTTGATGAAATCATCGAAGTGCTCATCAAAGCTTGTCGTGAGGCGAAGGAAGAGGAAGACGGTGGACGGCAGGGCACAACAGACGGAGATTTGTTGCCGCTGAATGATGTCTCACCAACAACTTCAGCAGTTAGCAATGGAATATTTTACGCCGAGTTGAAAGATGGTGAAATAGAAATGGGTTTTCATGATCATGTTAAAGACAGCGAACGACTGGTTCGTCTCAACGGTGGGATGAAGTCATCATTCAAGGAGAACGGGGACTTCCGTTCTTGTCGTGATATTATAGGTGAGGTCTATTGGACAAAAAAGAAACCTGAGATAAATATCTTAAAAATCCAAGATACGGATAAAACTAGCCTGCTCGCAGCTCGAAATTTCGTTCAAAGGTTAAATTTTCGGGTGGGGTCTGCTGAGCAAGCTAGCTAGGATAAAATAAGACTTTTAAAACGAGTTCGTACTGCATGACGAAACCCAATCACACGAAACTGAATTTATTCATTTCACATGCATGAGATTGGAGCGAAATTATATTCAGAAAACTATATATTATAAGAATTGAACCCCGTTTAATAGCAGAAATGCCCCAACCTCTGTATTACTAACAAGACTACGTTCACGCAAGGCTGGTTGAATCGAGAAACGTACGCACGTTTGCCCGCATTTCGCGCGTCCTGTGCATGTGAACTGTAGAGAGTTTAAGGTCTAGGTACGACGCAGCCGGCTCAGCGACGAGCTTTCAGTTAAAACTACGAATTTGTCATGCAAGACAAAAACTGTGAATAATTTGTGATTCCAATGGTGTTCTGAACGACTTCTCAACGCAACATTAAACCAAACATATCTTTCAAGCAACGTGAAAGCTTATTGCGACCCAAAAAGTGTTACTTAAAGTCGAAATTACAGCAAACATTGCATAGCTTTAGCCGAACTGAGCCGTTTGTAAGGTTATTTCATAAGCTTCAAATATTTATTACAGTAATCAAATTTCTTAGCGCTCCTTCTTCAGCTGAAATAGAGATCGCGTCATTGACCAGGTCACGCGTCGTAGATCTTAAACTTTACTAAGCAGATTATTTACAAACGTCCAAACGGTTTGACAAAATCCGGATCCTGTCATTTTTAAATGGAGCAACGGAACTTAATTTTTACTTTGTTTGTTATGACATAGAACTGCTTCCAAAAGAGGAACTGCTAAAATTACTCAGAGAAGACCCAGCCCGTTTTATAAAGTGCACTTTCCGTATTGACACCAGCGGCCGGCAACGGAGATATTACGGTCAACTACCAACACCTGATAGCCCTAATATCCGCATCCTTGGTCCAGTCCGAGGAGTGTACGAGGATGATATTGTTGTACTCGAATTACAAGGCCAACAAGAAGGAATTAGTTGTCTCGGGTATGAAAAAGGTGAGCACAAAATTGTTTTCTTGCCTTCAATTGAAAAATTTTGCTTGATTTTGACAGTATACTGTAGTTAAGATGCAGTAAATTCTTGATTCAACCATCAACAGTTTTAAAAACATATTTGGTGGGATTTTTTATTAGATATAAAATCTCCTTCACAGTTATGATTTTCTTTGTGTTCTCTTCGTGAATTAATCATGCTATTTAATATGAATAAAGTGTAAAACCAATTTTATTTCTTTCTTATGCCAAAGGCGTTTTACGAACACTTGTCGCACCCACAGAACGTTATTTTGTGTGCACAGTTGACAGAGCGAATCCCAGTGTGATGATACCTATTAACAAAAGTCCATGGAAATTATCAAATATTACCGAGACAAATAAAAAAAATATTCTCATCTATACCTTGCAAAATGGCAAGGTTAATCATCCAGCAAAAATCTTGAGAAAAAAACATTATGAAGAAGCCCTTGCTGGTGAACGTGTGTTCGTTGTAAAATATTTGAAATGGCGCACTGAATTTCCTCATCCTCTTGGACTGGCTGTCGGCCATATTCCCCATGGTAGAGATTTTAAAACAGGCATGAAAATTCTTTATGAAGAGTACAATATCAAGAAAGAATTTGACAACAAGTTGCGTAAAAGCGTTAAGAAAGAATTCGATGAAAACTGGCAGCTTCCTGCGAATGAGAAAGGTCGGCCTGTTTACCGCGACAACGTGTTTACCATTGATCCACCCGGATCACTAGATCTTGATGATGCCATCAGCATCCAATCACTTGGCAACGGAAACTATATGCTCCATATCCATATCGCTGACGTGTCATATTTTGTCCTGGACAATACACCTCTTGACGAAGAAGCCAGGTTACGTGGCACTAGTTATTATCCACCGAAGCCGGACGAAACTGTTCCGATGCTTCCCCGAGAGCTGTCCCAAGGTTGTTGTAGTCTGCTGAAAGGAAAAGATCGTCTGGTTGTAACGGTTATTGTTGAAGTGACGCCTGATGGAACAGTTGTTGGTGATGCAAAGATGGAGCGAAGTGTGATCCGCTCTAGTTCTAGGTTGACATACCTTGAAGCACAACAGATCATTGATGAAACAAGTCAACGGAGAGTCAACAGAGAGGTAAGAAATTCCTTCGTCGTAACAACCTTCTTTTTATTTCTCTTAGAAAGGTCATTCAGTTTAATTCATCCCAAAGCAAAGAGGAATATCTAGTCTTAGAAATATTGTCAAATCTAGTGCCGATTGTAATGGGATAACTATCAGAGGGACCGAATCTTTCTCTGATAAAACGTTAAAATGAAACGTGTGTGGCATGGAGATAACCGTGTTAGAGAGGTGCACATTTCACATCGGTGCTTGTGTAATGGAGGTGGTTTGTCAGGGGAGTGTTTATTTCATGAAGGTTTATTTGTTAAAGAGGCATTAGAAATGTTTATCTTAAATAGGTGTCCATCCTAGAAAGTTTCCTGTCTTGGAAAGGTGCCCCTTTTAGAAATGTTCTTCACAGATAGCCTCACTGATCAAAAGAAAATAAAAAAAATGAGGAAAATTTGTTTAATTTAAAATACATGTAGAGTGAATTTTCCCTCTTAATCAGCTTCATTCCTTCACAGTGTAATTTTTCCTGTTTTAAGAGAAGACAAATACCAGTGGAAGAAGCTATCGGTGTTTTACATCGTATTGCCCAAGGACATCGAAGATCGCGTTTGGGTTTCGAGAGATCGTTGTACCAAAGAAGGAGAGAAGATTGTGATGATGATGATCATAATAATGAGAGAGAATCTCATCAGATGATTGAAGAGATAATGATCATGGCCAACTATTTGGTGGCAAAATATTTACTGACGAAATTCCCTAATTGCACACCGCTTTGTGTTCAACCACCACCCAAAACACGTCGTGTGGTAGAATGGAGAAACCGTTTTCAGGAATTTCTCAATTTTGCGCTCGGGCTGGAATGTTTAGGAGATAGGGAGATCGTCCAGGACAAAACGGTTAAACTTAACGTGCCTTGTACGACATGGAGCATGATAATGAGCAAAATTGAACAGGATTCTAATTTCGATGAATTAGTAAAATTTGTTTGTGATCTTGATCTATTTCCTCAGCTTTCATTGGCAAATATGCACCAGCAACAGTTGCAGCAGAGAGGACGGTATATTTGTTCGGGGGAAACGTTCGAAAATATCCCCTTTCCATGGCCTCAGCATGAAAAAGAAATTCCCGCAGACAAGCAGAAAGTTCATGTCGATGGGTTATCAAATGTGCTTGCAGATAATGCCAGCTTATCAGGAGATAACACAAAACATCCAAAAGATAGTGCAGATCATGCAACAAACTCTGGACATACGAAAACGGAGGTTGCAGGTCATATGCCGGCGTCTTCGTATAGTTCAAGCGTTTACTCCGACGTTTCGTCAAATTTATTACCAGATGACATAAACTTGTCTGAAGATAGCAACAATGTTTCAGAAGATAGTACAGATAATGAAATAAATTCTGGAATAAAAAATACGGATGATGCTATAGATAATGTACTGGTCGTTTCATGTAATTCTGTTAACGAAGATGTCCAATGTTCAACTAATATTTCAAACCAATGCGACTTGAAAAAAATCTTGTACGGACATTCTAGCCTTCGCCTTAATGCTTATTGTCATTTCACTTCACCAATTCGCCGCTATATCGACATCGTTGTCCATCGTTTGGTGGTAAATAGTATTGAAAATGGAGCCAACATCATACGCGATACAAACGATATTACGACACTTTGCGACCGTTCCACGTTTATTTCCCGAAATTATGGTCGCTTTGGCAAAGACGCGAAGAAACTTCAACTAGCTGTGAACTCACAAAGTCCCTTCAGATTTGTGTCCGCGTTTATTGACGAAGTAGTGTCAGATGAATTGAAGCTATTCTTTGGCACGGGAGAATTTAGGCTTCTCTCTGGTAAATCAGTTCGTATCGCCCGACTCGGCCCTGATAAAGATCCAGAAGATGGAGACGATCACATTAAACTGCAGTGGACTTTTCGTTTCTTACGGTTAGACAAACGAGGCCGTGCACAACCAAAACTGCATATCTCTGACGATGAGAAATCGCACGAGAAGCTGGAACATCAAACTGAGGGTAAGTATTAGTTAAAGTAAAGGGTTAATACGAGTCTTTACGATCGTGCGTTTAACCAGCTAAGTACATTAAGGGCATTTGAACGTCTTCGGTTATATTGAGATAACTTTGGAGATTGGTGTATTGCCGAAATCAGTAGAGTGTCTTTTCCGGAAGTTGAAAAGAACAGTCGGAATTAAGGCAGTAGAAACGCTTCATGCTTTATGATGTCACGGTGAAGGAATGCGGCGTGGAACTTGAATGTTATTTTACATATTAGTAATTTTATTTGGTGACAAATTGGCAATGACTTTTTTCCATAAAAACATTCAGAATTAAACTCTTGTGCCGCTTCCAACCACTCTTTTTAGGTTGTCCTAACATAGACTTGTGACGTGCTCACAGCTCACTAACTTTCCACGCTGCATTCCTTCACAGTGACGTCATAAAACATGAACGTTTCTACTGGCTTCAGACCGTCTTTTCAACTTCCGGAAAAGACACTCTACTGATTTTCGGTAATATTTTTGCAGCATGCATTACAAAGTAGTTACTCCCTGTTCTTTCCTGGATGAATGCTGCAAAATTCATTTCGAGAGTGTAAACTAACTTTACGCTGCACTGTTAGTTCTATACTGGTACGTCATGGCAGTCTAGTGAGGGCTTTCTCTTATTGGTGTTCTCTTACGATGGTACAGGATAATTAACTTACCACTGTGTTACCAAATATTTTTTTATCAGATGAAGAACCTGTTCATTTATCAGAAATGGGAGATGATTTTGACTATACCGTGAGTGGTGAACAGTGGAATAGAGTACTGGATGCAGTCAAAAATCAACGTGAAGATCTACTCAAATCTCGGTTGCAAGAAGTGGATAATGATATTCGAAAACAAGGGTTAGTTGGCTCGCAAAATTCTAATTCTATTTATGCCTGTAGAAAAGCTGTCAACATACTAGACCGCGAGCAATCCCTCGGGAGAAAGGAGGGTCCGCCGACAACACATCAAGAAACGAAATACGCCCACTTTTCGCTCTTGTCAAGTTGGCTCCGCCTTTGCATAAACATTACTTATATCCAATTAAATCTATCCAATAGGAACCGTTAAGGGGCGGACCATTAGAAAAGTGATGGGGGGGACATTTTTAACTTGTACGAATATATTTGTTTAATTTTCTGCTTGTGTCGATAATTTTTTTAAATACAATTCCTTGCATGAATTTTTTTTTTCAACTTATAATTTTCCCTATTGAAAGCCTCTGCACGAATTTTTTTTTCAAACTTTTTTGGTGCGCGAATTTTTTTCTTTCTGTTTCCCCTGCGCGATTTTTATTTTTGCTCCCCACTACCACTTTTCTAATGGTCCGCCCCTAATGTCATGTTTATTCACAGGGTGTATCAAAAAAAGGTAATCGAACTTCAGCGCGCTATTGTACGTGAATTACTCGTATTAATCACGAACTTGTCGTAGCTTAGCTAAGATTTATTCCTACTTAATAATAATTATGAATATGTGCGTAGTTTATTGAAGTGAAATTCATCGACTTAATAAGTACCGAAGCGGGTTAATTTTCAATGGTTATAGCAACGGACAACGGTGAAAATATGCGATTCTGACTAAAAAAATTTTATCGGATTCGTATTTGCTCATTTTTTATCCATTTGTCATGAAGAACATATCATTCAACACTAAAAGCCTGATCTTTCCGAAGATGAAAAAATCTCGTTCATACGCAGAGTAATTCAGATACAATAGCACGCTGAATTTATTTTGATACACCCTGTATAAAATCAACATTCAGTCTGTAAATTATTTGTAGAATAATTACTACGTATCAGATTTGATTGACAGGCGTATCGATTTCGACCAATGGGAATTTTGCATTGTGTGGGCAACGCATATTTCGTTTCTGGATGTGTTGTCGGCAGTCTCTCCTTTCCTTTCGCATGCCCGGAAATCTGAAAAAAAAAATTAAAACCCGCGGAAAGGAGGGACCGCTCGCAGTCTATAAACATACATAACAAGATTGCAATGTTTATGCGCTTCATCATTTTATAATATGCAGTAGTGGACACTTCGCCAAATATTGGGGAGAGGGCGAATTTAGGTCAACACCATATTATCACCCTTTCAGTGTTGATACAAATCTCAACTTTTTTGTCTCCCAATGCTTTCATGGTTTTAAAACATTTTTATAACTTTGTTACACAGTAATAATTCAGAGATACGATTCATGATAATACGATCCTCCTTGGCAGCCAAGACCTAGGACCTTTACTTCAAAGACGTCATGTGCCGTCAAATGCCTTTAAGGCCCTAGGCTGCAACCTTGGGCCTTACTACATGCTTTACTATTAGGCCTGTTTTCGAGGTCAAATTTACGACGAATTTAATTCGTCCAAATTGATGCTTCTGAATTATACTCGACGAAGTCAATTTCAGTCAATTATGCGACGGAACTCATCAAATACTTCGATAACTTAATGTTCTGCGTCGAATAAAACCATTGGAAATGTCCTTTTCTTGAACGAATTACATTTAACGAAAACAGGCCTTATACATAAGGACTAAGTAATATAAAGACTTGTGGTTGATTTCCAAGAAAATGTCACCTTTTATTTCATGAAAGAACAAGACATGGATGAAATACTCATACTCAAATTACGCGCGGTTCCGAGCAACGTCACTGGTTAACGTCCTTAATTCTAAATAACCATATCTATTCTTTCGTCCATAGAAAGCCCAAAAGCTGTACAAAAGTATCTCTACTAAAACGAATACAGAATGATCCCAGTCTGTCTTCCAGTCCACTTTATCAGCATGCAATTGGCAAACCAGGGCCGTCTGCGAAAGAAACTGACGAGGTTCTGAAGGTTACAAGATATTTTAAGCCATGTGATCGAGTGAAGGTTCAACTATGTTCTCAAATGACTCGAGGTGTTCTTTCGCCTGCTATACAACTGTTCAAGCTAACCGATGTTTGCGATGAGATACATGCTTGTGTCGAACACCGAAGCTCTCCGACTACCTGCTTCGCGAAGACTGCGCAAAAGCGACCTACCAACGCCAGGTTCCCCCATATCACAGAATATGTTAAGCAATGGAAACCTGTGCTGATGATGGAAATTGTTACATCTGCAGTTCGAGAAGATGACATCATATTTTTATCGAATCTTCTTGTGAGTCTCGAGCGAGATTCTAAAGGTATAGATATACTGTAAACTATTTATTTAGAAATGGAAAATTTCGATTCATCAACCAAAAAAAATGAAAGCGACGTACTAGTAGCCTAAATCATCATAACTTGGTGCAACTATTTTTTATGACTTCAATTGAGGTAATGATAAAATTGTTCATAGTTGATTAGAATCAAGGAATTATATTAATTGTGGAAAACAATTAAAGCAATGGACTATCTTCCAAAAAATTTAAATATGTGACTTTTTTGCCCCTTATTGTAAGCTATTTGACAACTTACCCCCTGTTAAAGCAAAACTATTCAATCTCTTTTCAGGTATGGTGAACATGGAGTTTAAATTGTCCTATGATTATTGCAAGGATCACTTCCTGGACCCGCTTGATTTAAACCTCATGTGTGTTCGTGTGAAAGATCCCGATGGATCAGAGAAAGATACAGGATACTGGGTCGGGCATTTTCAAATTTCGGAAGAATTGAGGAAGGATGATGTAAGGAAAATTAATGAAGAAGCTGGGGAGAATGCAAGTAGCCAGAAGGATCAAGACGTTTCGGCCAATGTTGCTGAATTGGGATCAGATCTCGACGAATACCGGTCCGTTCTAGCTCGATTAATTCACAGTTCCACACCAGTTCCGGAGTCATTAATCACGCAAAGATTTTGCTACGTCACTGTGGAATTAATACGCTTAAGTATTCCAAACAGGTCAGTTGAGATTTAATCCCTATAGGCAAACTAGCAGACATTGTTGCGGTAACATTTGAAAATATTGATGTATGTAAAATGCTTCCCTTGTGATTTAGCGTGAGACATAAAAATTAGTTAAATATTATCAGCATGCATAGTATAGTTTTAGGAAAAACTGCCCGACTCTTCGAAACTCGCAGAATAAATCCAACTTGGCAGCTGGCAACTAGCTGTTGCGGTGTCCCTGCCAAAACGTTCTTGTAAATATATATAAGTGCATGTAAATTTTCGTTATTTAATGGCAAAGTTAATAAATTAACTTCTCAGTAAAATCATATATATAGGCTTCTATGTAAACTCTAATATCCCAATTTCCATGCTTAACAATCCCGTGAAAATCCTTTCCCAAAAAGGGACCATACTATACTGTGGAGAAATGACAGATGCTTGTTGGTGGAAAAAAGTTAGGTGTGGTGCCGTATGTAGTGGGGGGGGCATCCCCCTCGCAGAAAATGTTTGTATTTTTCCACCCCTATAGGACTGCATTTCCGGTGCGTTTTCTGAAACAGATTTTTGGATATATAGCATTACATTATACTGTAGATAGACTGAATATTCAGTTAAGTCGGCCCTGCCGTAAGAGAATCCCCACAGGTGTTAACATGCACAGTGAATTGTTTTATAGGCGCCGTTTTAAAGCACTAGTTCATTCAGTCACGGCACCCAAACTTGTTCAGGATATTTGTACTGGCAAGGTATCTACAGAACTTGATGTTGTTGGTAAGTTACAACTCACGATATATCAAATTACAGCCAGTTTTCTAGTAAGCTTTAAAGAAAGAAAATCTAGTTTATGCAATTGAAAATTTTTTGCATGCAGCATAAACTATATAACAACAAACGAAAAATTTAAAAATTTGTTCGAAAGAATGACAGTAATTATTTTGCTTGGTATGCTATATCTCTTCCTGCATAGTGTATAACACTTCCCCTAATCTTTAATATTTTTTAATTTAATAAACGACCAACGTCTGAAAGTGTCAAAAAATCACTGTCCAGTACGCAGTGGTAGCCCTATCCGGCCTTCGTCTGCCTCCTTCAGCTGCCCACAAAACATTCTCGCAATGTTTGTGTTCTTTTTTTTCATTTATTCTTCTAGAGAGCAGTTCTTTACCACAGAAGTTATCTCTATGCGATGTGTATCGAACTCTACGAAAGTTATATGATCCCTTGAACAGCTGCCAAGAAGGTGCAGTAAAGAGAGCGTTGACCAAATCATTTACACTCATTCAGGGACCACCAGGTAAAATTTCAAATACAAGACAAAAGATTTACACAGTATTTAAATCCTTAAGTAGGGCCAAGATCTGATTTCAAGTGTGAGTAGTTTATATATAGGTCTGATATAGAAACACTCCTGGTTAACCTAGAAATAACATGATTTGGGCATCTCGCTCGATAGATTTTCATTCATAACCAGGAACAGCTGCGAAAAATGCAACTGTAGGCCCCTCCGTTACAGTTAGGGTAAGAACAGGAATATTAAGTTGACCCAAGACGTTTACCCAGGAATTTTAACCAGAGTTTTGTTCCTACCATTGTATCTGGTGGTACAATTGATGGTTTGTGTATGTGTCTTTCACTTCTACACAAACGAGCGGAGGTTTCAGTTAATTCCTGCTGTTTTCAGTTTTCAAATATAACTTGTCCTTAGTTTCGCTTGAGAAGGGTGCTCCTAGCCGGGGTTTTACTCTTCTAAACATCTTAGGCGTCCTTTGGATACTCCGGTTTCTTCTTGTAGTAATCCTAGTGAACGAAAAGGGATGACCATTACTGGACCTCTAAGAGAACAGATTAAAACTGATATACTATGCAGTATATACAAAGTCAAGTTAGTTCAGTAGGAATGACTTTTACTGGATCTAGGGAGAACAGTTTAGAAAGAGTTGATATAGAACTATCCAGCCTAAATAACTCATTTTTCATTTTATTCTTCATATATATCTGTAAAGGCACAGGAAAAACAGTAACTGCACAGGAAAAACAGTAACTGGAGTTCATATTGCATATTGGTTTGCTCAATTGAACCAGAGGAAAACAGCTTCAGTTAAAAAGGATGGGTACAACGGTTCTATGGTATTTTACTGTGGACCTTCGAACAAGTCCGTTGATGTTGTTGCTCGTAAGTACCACTGAAGGCCATGTATACGCGAGGCAAGTTTGTTGCAACATGCATGCATTGCAGTTTGGGATATACAGAGCCCTGTTATTTAAAAAGTACAGCTGCAGCCGTCGGCGGACAGATTGCCCGCCGCCGCACTTTACTCTGCCGACACTTTCTCGACATAACATACTTTATCTTAAAAATGAAAGAAATGGGTTGGAAAATGTCAACATGCAGAGACTGCAGAGTAAACTTGTGGGCCGCGCTCACAATTTTCGTGTGACTATACGCTTGTCTTGGAGGACGGCGGGCAGGACGCGCAGTGTTTCAATTCCATTTCTTCTACTAGTTTCACATAGTCCCGAGTGGGATTAGAACTATCACATCTTCGGGTTTCTGGACCGCCACGCTATCACGATTAAGCTATCGAATCAACGGCGTAGAGGTATAGAAAAAGCTCCGTTTTCCATGTGTTACACCTGGCTTTTATCTGTAACACGATTTGGAGACAATAGATAGTTACAAACATCACTTACGAAATCGTCAGAAAGTTTTTAATGGTGACATATTCATTTTTAGTGTGAAGTTTCTTCGAAACTTTACAGTATTGTGATGGTGGGGAAAATTCACACGAATCAGTCAGTCAGTCAGTTTAAAATCTTTATTACCTCCAATTTCTGAAGAGTATTTTACAAGAAAGTATATATCAATACACATATACACACACATACATACTTATACATACAAATAAAGCTAATTAACTAACTACTTAAATTGAAATTACACTAGTTTGAAAACAAGATGAAATATAACATGCAGATTGCAACAAATATAACGTCCACAGTTCCATATCAAAGCATAAAGTTTCTGATTGTAAGCCTAAAAGAGTTAGCATAAAATCCGTGTCCGATAATGTTGCTAAATAAACTGCAACCTCTAAAGGAAGATTATCGTTTACCCAGTCCCACAATAGTTCACGCTCGTTTTGCGAACCTAAGCAATAAAGCAGAGCATGATTAACAGGATTTAAATAGTTACGATTGCTTGAGTCACAATAGTCAATGTACGTATTAGGATGATCCACACGCTTCCCCCTGACCTTGTATGAGCCACAAATTAGTCTTATGACGTTATTAATCTCCTTCATGAAGGATGGATTCTTTCTTGCTATTATCCACCAATGAGAAACTTCATTCTTTGTATGAACCTTAGAGTAGAGATATAGTTGATTGTTCTTACTAATCTTTTCTCGCCAAACACGATCATATTGCTCTGGAACATGTTTATTGACAGTCTTTTTCCACAGAGTTTTTATAGGGAAATCATTTGTGAGAATATAAGTGATTAAAACTTGCAAAAGGTCGTACTTTGCGAGAATTTCAACAATGTCTGGCACAAATCCGGTTAATTTTTTGCCACAGTTCCACTTCCACCTTAGTAACCTGATAAAGAAGACACGGCGGCATGGTGCACCGGCACCCATGTTTATCAATCTTCCCAGAAAATACAATTTTCGATTATCTATCTCCGCTTCAACTGAAAGTAAGCCGAGAAGTCCCCGTGCCGCAGACCCAGACGTTCCTGGTAATAGTCCCTGCATGATCCTGACCATGATATTTTGGACCTTTTCTAACTCAATATAATTGTTCATTTTCAGCTGCCAGAGCTCTGATCCATACAGGAACTTTGGAATGCCAATCTTACGCCATAAATTAGACGAAACCATAGGATTTAATCCTCCGTAGCGAGTACCAACAGCCATCAACATAAAACAGACTTCTCTACCCGCACATGTTGCTTTTGAAACGATTTCCTTACTGTCTCTATTTGCAAGCCAAAGTTTTCCGAGATTTGACCACGACCCCTTTTCAGATAAAATTTGGGAACCAAGTTTCCAAGCTCTCGACCTATTGTTTGCTTCGTGTTCTTGCTGGCTCTCTCCAAATATTAATATAATATACTGCTACAATAACAAAATTAATATTCTCAATCTTCAATGACACTGATGCCAATCGATCAGACGCTGTTTGTATTTCTCGGACTTTAAGGTTTTTCTTTAAGAACAAAGCAACGCCACCTTGACCTCTTTTCCACCTTTCCCTGATGTTATTATCCGAACTTGTACACGAAATAACACTAAAATTATCATTGAGACTGTCTAGAAATGACAATTCATCTTTTACAGCCAATGTTCAGTTAAAGCTAACACGTCTAATTTCTGCAAGAGTTTTCTTGCATAAATAAAATTGCCATATATTCCACCGCAATTCCAGCAACCCAAATTTAGTTTTGTTGGCTCGTATTTTGGTTATGTAATACACCTCTTTTTTCCCAACTTTGTTTTGACAGCCACTGCCTAGCATAGACATGATTTGGCCAAAAGTCATTATTACATACACAATCAAAATCCAGTCAGTCAGTCAGTTTTAAATCTTTATTGCCTCCAATTTCTGAAGAGTAGGTATATTTACAAAGGAAGTATTAATAATAAAATAAAGATAGTGAAAAAACTAACTATTGTTACCTAACTAGCTAACTAAATTACTCCTATAACAAAAGGAAACATAACTTGCAGATTTCAGCAATAGCTCCGTCCATATGTCTGTGTTTGCACATAATGCTTCTAACTTTTTACCTAATATAACTAAGAGAAATTCCATGTCTGTCAAACTTGCTAAATGTACTGCCATTTCGATTGGCATAGTATCGTTTATCCATTCCCATAGTTCTTCTCTTAATTGGCTTGTGCCATTACAATAAAGTAGTGCATGCTTTACAGGATTTAAGAAATTGCTATTACAAACATTACAATAGTCTCTATAAGTTTCTGGTTTGTTCACCCGTTTTCCTTTAATTTTGTAAGATCCACAGAGTAGTCTTAGAACATCATTAATTTCTTTCATAAAGTCCGGTTTCATTCTAGCTAATAACCACCATGGTGAAATTTCAATCACAGGATGAACTTCTGCATAAAGTTTTAGTTGACCATGCGTACTTATTTTTTCTTGCCAGATATTGTTATAGTACTCGTATATATGTTTTTTAACAATTTTCTTCCATGCAGATTTGCTTGGAAATTGATCGGATAAAATATACCCTGTTAGAAAGTCCATGAGATCATATTTCAAAAGAATTCGTACAATATTTGGAATGAATCCTTTTAAGGTGTTTGTATGGTTCCACTTCCAACGTATTAATCTCATGAGGAAGATCTTTCTGCACGGAACACCATGACTCATTAGTATAAGTCGTCCCAGAAAATACAATTTCCGTTTATCGACTTCAGCTTCGATTGGTGGTAAGCCCAGCAACCCTCTCGCAGCAGACCCTGATATTCCAGGTAATAACCCCTGTATAATACGCACCGTAGTATTTTGCACTTTTTCCAGTTCAACAATGTCATTACAATTCAATTGCCAGAGCTCGGAACCGTACAACATCTTTGGGATACCAATCCGCTTCCATAACTGAACTGAAATTATAGGATTTAATCCTCCATATCGAGCTCCCATTTTCATTAAAACCATTCCGGATTCTCTTCCTCTGGTGACAGCCTTGGAAACGAATGCAGACGAATCCTTATTTACATGCCATATTTTTCCAAGATTGAACCAACATTCCTTTTCCAAAATAACTCGTGACCCAAGATGCCAATCTCTAATGCTGCGATTTACACTACGTTCCCGATAGCTTTCACCAAACGTTAAAACTACCGTTTTCGTAGCATTAAATGTAAATCTCCATTTGACATATTACATACACAATCAAAATCCAGTCAGTCAGTCAGTCAGTCAGTCAGTCAGTCAGTCAGTCAGTTTTAAATCTTTATTGCCTCCAATTTCTGAAGAGTAGGTATATTTACAAAGGAAGTATTAATAATAAAATAAAGATAGTGAAAAAACTAACTATTGTTACCGAACTAGCTAACTAAATTACTCCTATAACAAAAGGAAACATAACTTGCAGATTTCAGCAATAGCTCCGTCCATATGTCTGTGTTTGCACATAATGCTTCTAACTTTTTACCTAATATAACTAAGAGAAATTCCATGTCTGTCAAACTTGCTAAATGTACTGCCATTTCGATTGGCATAGTATCGTTTATCCATTCCCATAGTTCTTCTCTTAATTGGCTTTTGCCATTACAATAAAGTAATGCATGCTTTACAGGATTTAAGAAATTGCTATTACAAACATTACAATAGTCTCTATAAGTTTCTGGTTTGTTCACCCGTTTTCCTTTAATTTTGTAAGATCCACAGAGTAGTCTTAGAACAGCATTAATTTCTTTCATAAAGTCCGGTTTCATTCTAGCTAATAACCACCATGGTGAAATTTCAATCACAGGATGAACT